TATATTACATGTACTATAAATTGTCATTGTTGACATTTTGCATGTTCTCTTTTTCTTTTTTCGCTGCCACTACCATATTGTGAACAGAAAGAATAACAGCACTAGTGACTATCAATAATGCGCCTATAGAAAATAGATAAGTAATTGTTATTCGTAAGAAGATATATTGTAAGAAGACAGCGTATAGTATATCTAATGCTCCTAATATAGTCAGTAATTGAAGATTTTCTCGTTTTATCGCTTTAGCATAGAACGTATTCGTTATTAATTGAATAAAACCAATTGCTAAGCCTACGGTTAACATCCATTTATAAGGATAGGGTTCCGGTTTGAATAAACGTCTTATCAGACTATAAGAAATTGAGACAAGTAATGCAACAAATGTAAATTGAAAATTCATTACAGAAAATGGCATTTTTGTTGATATTAATTTTTTTCGTGCAATGAATTGTGCAGATTTTGTTAGTGCACAAATGGATGCTAAAGCAACACCTAAGTAATAATAATTAGATGTTGATTCAGTTGTTGTTATCATTGAACTATTAATGGATGATAGATTAATACAGCTATATGAAAATAATGAACATGTTTCATTTAAACTGGTCTCTTTCAATAAATTTAATAATCTGACAAATAAATATTTTGGTTTAGCTGTTAATATAAGTCCAGTAAAAGTTAGAACAAGTGAAATAGCATTGAATTTGGTAAATTTTTCTTTGAGAAAAATCACAGCCAGACAGGCTGTCCATACAATATATGTGTAACGTAGTGTATTCAAGTCTGATAATGGTAGAAAATAATATGCACTAATATAACATAAATTAGTTAAACTCGATGTCGATGTCATTATAACAATTGCACGACTTTGACTTTTTTCACCAAGTATTTTATATTTTTTATACATGGCAAAAGCACCAAAGACGATTGTTTGCACAAGAAATCGCATAATCATTATGTCAAACATATCGGCTGGAATTAATTTTAATACGAATGTACAACATGCAAATATAAAATTTGCACTTATCCAATACCATATACCCGATCGTTTGTGTAAAAAATTGAAAATTTGTTTCACTTTATTTGGATTTGATTTTAACTGATGTTCAATAATTGAAGATGATTTTGTTCCATTTAACTTAGTTTCCACAAGTGGATATTCTTGATTCATCGATGAGGATAATGTTTCATTTGGACTGTTTTCATTCACGTTGAACTCATGNAAATATTTATTTGTCAGATTATTAAATTTATTGAAAGAGACCAGTTTAAATGAAACATGTTCATTATTTGTGACACTGTTTTCAGCTCTGTTAGATTACTTCTGCTTATCTACTGACAATGAACTCTTCAGCATTAGAAAAATAATATTTTTTAGCAGTAGTTTTGCAGTCAAAAATGTGAAAGCTAGTTTAAATCTAATGGGTCATATGTATTTTCTCTCTTATCAGCTTGAGTCAGTGCCTTTATTCTAATATCATAATTTTCGTTACAAGATAGAATATAAAGGTAAGATAGTTTGACGTCGTACCCATATGTTAAGGATAAATGAGATATTTATTTACATACTTTCTTATGCATGCCGTAATTTATACCTATTGAATGTACTGTACTCGCTTTTTTCTTCTTCGTGATGCTCGTTCCACGTAGTCAACCATATATTCATGGTTATCAAGAACAGAAAAAAATCCGTTTTATTCCCGTTTGTTCTTTTCTCTTTCTTTTATGAAGAAAAATTATTTAGCTTTTTCTCTCCCAATGTACTCGGGTAAGCTATAACCTTTCCAACAGTGTGTACAAACATGATAAGAACATACTTCTTATTTACTGCATGTTTGTTGTTACCGGAGCTCCTGATATTTCGCAGTTCGAAAATCATAAGAAAAGCAAAATGCAAAAAGAAAACATTATGGAATTTCATTCTGATAGCAGAGTTGGCTGGCCAAGATGAACAACAACCGAAATATTGTACTGATGAGCAGGAAAATTCACGCTGGAAATACTATGTTGGACAAAATTATTCAAACAATACTAGCGATTGTTATAGTTTGATTTTCTAGTTACATCTAACTGAAATCTCACACGCGGTTTAAACTATAGAATAATATTTGCATTGAGTGAAGATGCGCAAGTCCAAGTTCGAACTAATAGAGTTTTTGGCATGAACTGGGACTAAAGGTATAAGAGATTTGGACTGACTTTTTTCACAGTTGTGCCTGGCTTTTCAGTTCAAATTTGACAAAAAAT